TACTGTGCGGAGCACGGCATCACCCAGTCGTTCACGCTTCCGGCCTCTCCACAGCAGAATGGGGTTGCTGAGCGCCGCATTGGCTTGGTCATGGAGGTCGCTCGTACCTCCATGGTCCATGCGGCTGCCCCCCATTTTCTGTGGCTGTTTGCGGTCCGGTACGCCGCGCATCAGCTCAACCTCTGGCCCCGTGTCTCCTTGCCGGAGACCTCGCCCACACTGCTGTGGACGGGGGAGGTTGGCGATGCGTCGCGTTTCCGGGTCTGGGGTTCTCGTGCCTTTGTCCGCGATACCACCGTGGACAAGCTCTCCGCCCGCGCTGTTCCCTGTGTCTTCCTAAGCTTCGTCCCTGACGCGCCTGGTTGGCAGTTTTACCACCCCACCTCGCGCCGTGTCTTCCCCTCTCAGGACGTCACTTTTGACGAGTCGGTTCCCTTTTACCGTCTCTTTCCCTACCGCACTGCCCCTCTCCCCCCCCCGCCGCTCTTCCTCGCTCCAGGTGCTACCCAGGTAGACCCCCTCCCCGCTCCCGGTCCTGCTCCTTCAGGTGTGTCTCAGGTAGACCCTCCTCCTTTGCCTCCGCCGGTTGAGGTCACTGGTGACTCAGGTCCTGCTCGGGGTGCTACTTCTGGGGGTGCGGAGCCTGGGGGTGCTGAGCCTGGGGGTGCGGAGCCTGGGGGTGCGGAGCCTGGGGGTGCGGAGCTTGAGGGTGTGCAGAGTCTGGAGGTGCTGAGCCTGGAGGTTCTGAGTCTGGGAGTGCTGCGCCTGGGGGCACTGTGGGGTCTGGTGAGCGGTCTCCCTGGCGCGGCCGTCTCCGCAGTCGCTCCGCTGGTGCTTCGCCGCTGCACCCTAGTCGTCGACCCCCTCTCTCCCCACAGCAGCTGCGTGAGTGGTACGCTGGTCGTCAGGGTCGCGCTGCTGGAGCTAGGGGCCCTACTGCGGGAGGCGCTGGCGCTGGTGCCTCTACTACTGGAGTCGTTTCTGCTGGAGGTTCTGGAGCAGTTTGGAGTGCTGGTGCTGAGGGTTCTGAGTCTGCTGTTGCGCGGTCTCCTTGGAGTAGCCGCCTTCGTCCACGTGTGCCTCTCACCCCGCAGCAGCTGCACGACTGGTACGGTCGCCGTCAGGGTCGCGCTGCTGGAGCCCGGGGCTCTGCTGCTGGAGGTACTTCTGCTGACGTCCCTGGAGCTAGGAGTGGTGCTGGTACTTTGTCTACTGGAGGTGCTGGAGTCGCTGGTCCCGGAGGTGCTTGTACTGGAGGTACTGGAGCTGCTGGGGCTGGGGGTGCTGCGTCTGGAGGTGCTGCTGCTGGAGACATTGAGGCTGGAGACCCTGGGCCTGGAGGTGCTGGTTCTGGGGGTGCTGCTGCTGGAGGCACTGCGGTTGGAGGCCTTGGGCCTGGAGGTGTCGGTTCTGGGGCTGGAGGTTCTAGAGCTGCTGGAGGTGCTGGAGCTGCTGGAGGTACTGGAGCTGCTGGAGCTGCCGGTACTGGTGCAGCTGCGCCGACACGACTGTTCTTCGCTCCGCCGTCTCCGTCGTCTCTGCCGCCGCCTGACTCTGTTCTTCGTCAGGTTCTTACTCTCCCGTCGTCTACTGGTCTTCTGTTACAGCCTGGCTCACCGCTGCCTGCTCCTTCTCCTTACACTGAGCAGACAGGTAGTCTTGCTGAGCGTCGTGAGCCTGCGTCGCGTCCTGTCTCGCCTGTTGGTCCTAGTCGTACCGGTCGTCGTGTTCCTCGTCCGCGTCAGCCGGCTGTCCCCGGCACACGCCTTGTAGCCCTGCGTCGGTCCCCTACTCCGGAGCGTACTCCTCTTCCGTCTCCCCCTGCGTCCTCTTTGCCTGACGTCGCGGACCCTGAGTCTGACCGGTTTCGTGCTGAGCACCCTACTGTCACGCGTCTGCTAGCCACTGTTGTCACTGACCCGTCGTTTGAGTCTGCTGCTGCGTCTGCCCTGGTCGCTGAGCTTGTTGACTTTGCTGCTGCCTGTCGTCTAGACTACGCTGCTAGTCTTGTTGCTGAGTCTGAGTCTGTCTGTCCTCCGTCCGTCGGGGGTGAGTGTGCCCTTGGCACGGACGTCCTTGAGGACAGGCACGAGGACCTTGAGTGTCTTGCAGCCGCTGCGCCTCATCTCGTGGCCATGCTGCTTGCCCCTGAGGGAGACCCGGATGCTATAGACATCCCCACACCGCGCTCTTACGCTGAGGCGATCGCGGGTCCCTACTCCTCTCAGTGGCAGGCAGCCATGGACGCAGAGATGGCATCCTGGAAGTCCACAGGCACTTACGTCGATGAGGTTCCCCCTCCCGGGGCGAACATCGTCGATGGCATGTGGATTTTCAGGGTGAAGCGGCCGCCAGGCTCTCCGCCTGTCTTCAAGGCGCGTTACGTTGCTCGAGGCTTCAGTCAGCGAGAGGGAGTTGACTTCTTCCAGACCTTCTCCCCTACCCTGAAGATGACTACTCTTCGGGTGCTGCTGCACGTTGCCGCTCAGCGTGACTACGAGCTTCACTCCCTTGACTTCAGCACATCTTTCCTACAGGGTAGCCTGCACGAGGAGATCTGGCTGCGCCGCCCACCTGGCTTCACTGGGACGTTCCCTCCTGGTACCCAGTGGAGCCTCCGCCGGCCAGTCTACGGTCTCCGCCAGGCACCCCGTGAGTGGCACGACACACTGAGGACTACCCTTGCGGCTCTTGGGTTTGCGCCTTCGACTGCTGACCCTTCACTGTTTCTACGCACCGACACTTCGCTGCCGCCGTTCTATATCCTCGTGTACGTCGACGACTTGGTCTTTGCTACTGCTGACACTGAGGCCCTCGCCCTGGTGAAGTCCGAGCTGCAGAAGAGACACACGTGCACAGACCTGGGTGAGCTGCGCAGCTACCTTGGCTTGCAGATCACCCGGGACCGAGCACGCCGCACCATCACACTGACTCAGTCACACATGGTGCAGCAGGTCCTTCAGCGCTTCGGCTTCACCTGGTCCTCAGCACAGGCCACTCCTCTGGCGATAGGTCACTCGCTCTTAGCTCTGCCTTCGGATGAGTCCGTAGAGCCGAGTGGTCCTTACCCAGAGCTAGTGGGCTGCCTCATGTACCTGATGACTTGCACTCGTCCTGACCTTGCGTACCCTCTTGGCCTTCTGGCTCGCTACGTGGCTCCTGGTCGGCACCGAAAGGTGCACTGGGATGCTGCGAAGAGGGTACTGCGCTACTTGTGCAGTACATCGGGCATGGGGCTCGTGCTTGGAGGACGGCGAGAGGTGGTCCTCACTGGGCACTCAGACGCTTCTTGGGTTGACGACCAGGCTACGCAGCGGTCGTCACAGGGTTACACTTTCAGCCTTGGCTCTGGTTCTGTTTCTTGGCGTTCTACTCGCTCGTCTTCTGTTCTCAGCTCCAGTTGTGAGGCTGAGATCTACGCCACCGCCATGGCTGCTCAGGAGTTACGCTGGCTCACCTACCTGCTGACCGACCTGGGAGAGCGGCCTCGTTCTCCTCCAATTCTGTACGTCGACAACAAGGCTGCCATTGCCTTGTGTGAGGAGCACAGACTGGAGCACAGAATGAAGCACATCGCTCTGCGTTACTTCCTGGCTCGAGAGTTGCAGCAGCGTGGTCAGCTTCGTCTTGCACACGTGGCCACTCGGGCCAACACTGCTGATATATTCACCAAGGCACTTCCGTCTGGTGATCATCAGCGCTTTTGTACTTTGTTAGGCCTTGTGCCTACGTTTCCACACTTGCTGTAGCCTTTGTGTGTACTGTGCTCTATATTTATACCTGCATGCTTGCTCTTGCTAGGTATTGATCACTGTACTGCTCTTGTTGCATATATATATCTCTGCATGTGGACTGGCCTTGTGGCCCTTTGCTTGTGCTCAGTGTGTGTGGTGACGTTGTGATCCACCCTGAGCTTGTTTTGCGTTTCTTGACTGGTCTTGTGACCCCTTGTTCTCCCCCACTTTGCCTATGGGGGTGTGTCAAACATATATGCTACTTATTGTGTAGGCTGTAGTGGGGTAGCCCATATGGGGTACAACCCAATTAGGGTTTACTACTTGTACTCCTGCATGCTCTTAGTTCATCATTCCTGCCTGTGATTTCAACAGATTGGCCTGACCAAGCTGCGCAGCAAGTGCAAGCAGTACGAGGCCAAGCAACAGCTATTCGACTTCTACAACCTCTTCCTGGCTGACATCGACATCATCCCCCAGCTTCCCCCCCTTATTGGCACAAAGTTTTTCAAAAAGAAGAAACACCTGATCCCCGAAGAAATGGAAGAATGTGAGCTCATTGCATACACGAGCCACGAATTCGCCCGCTCTGCCGATCTACATGGCGGAAGTTGATTTGCCGACGAAAATGACTTTGAAGGTGGCATACTTCCTCCTCCGGCAAGGGGGTGAGGAGGGTGTGAAAAGGGAGGAGGGAGGAAGGGATAAGGAGGTGGGGAATGGGAAGAGGAGAAGAGGGAGCACAGGGGGCAGAGTGGGGGATGTGAAGGCCAAGAAGCCGAGAGTAATGAAGAGGGGGTTGTCGACTTGAAGGGCGCTTGTGGTAAAATTTCTCTGGGAATAATAAAATCTTGCAATATCGCCTGTATCAAATGCCTCAAGTCAGTGGTGATTACTGAATAACCTTTAACATGTTCTCCAGCATACGGTAATGAGGCACAATTCTTATCATAGGTATCCTAAGTGACTAGCTGCCCCGGTAACCCTTGTCGCTGAAGCTCGCATGGAGACCTGGGGTTGCTGTTTCTGGAATTCTGCCATTCGTCTTCCGCTCCGCGTCCTCCACGCTCATTCATCAGTATTTGCTTTCGCTATTTTCCAGGTTTCCCTTGCATGCATGCACGGACTAGCTGTGCATGTCGCCAATGTCCTGGCTGCTCTGGGGACGAGGCTCAATGGCTTCATATCCTATGCGTACTGGAGTTATAGGCTGTAAAGCGTTTGTTTCGTTTTCCCGCGGTTCCTGATTCCGCATAGTTTGCTCCTATGGTGCGTCTGATTTTCGGCGGCTGTCGTGGCTCGAGGTTGGTGTTACTACGTGTAGAATTGACATGAACTCACGCCAGCGAACCTACGAACTCCAGACCTCTCCCACCAAGGTCCGAATCCAGCGATTTATTGACCAGCTTCACATGTCGTTCTTCTTTCTCCTGTTTCTGTGTCATGCGTCAGCATCGTCAGTCGCGCTATTTTACCCTTGACTTCCGTGATGCTTTTTTTTTCTCCTGGCTCTGACTTGACCCGCAGGCTTTGAGCAGGATGGAGGTGCCAGTTCTCCGCGCGTGTCTGAGGTGTCGCACGCTCATCATTCACCACGAGGGCTGCAAGTACGTCACATGTCAGTGCGGCGCCACCTTCTGCTTCGCCTGCCTGCAACCGTGGGATGAGTGCAACACAGACCATAGTGGGCCCTGCGCTGCGCCAGTTGCACCCCGTCAGGGTTAAATTGTGCTCTGGGGTGAAACAAAGCGAGGTGAAGGCCAAATAACTATCATTAGGTTAGGAGATAGTTTGTAGGTGTTGTCTTGTGCAGTCTACATGAGCTGCATGGTGTGATGTGAGCTGCCATTGCAGTTTGCTTGTGTAATTCATGAATGATTCAGTCAATTACGTTGACATGAAAGTAATTATCGTACACACAGATACATATTTGAAGGTGGCTTAGGAAAGATACCAACAATCACATATTTGTCCTGGACATGCCATTGCTTTCTTTCTTTCATTCCTTTTCAGATGTAATGGCTTTACACCGAATTTCTTGCGCTTGCTGGGTTGGAGGTGCAGGCCATTTTGAAAGACAGTTTCTAGCGGGTATAAATTTCCAGCCTCAAAAGGTTTGTTTCAGCGCCACATTCAATTGGTCTGCTTTCGCTCCAACCCAGGGTATCTCTAGGCTGTGGCTTTGCCATTCCCTCACTCCACGCTAGTAAACCAAATTCTTGACATGTCGATGTCGCCAATGACTTCCACTCGAAGAGATCGAGGTTCTCAGCCTTCAGATTATGCTTCCTATTCCTGCTTCTGGAAGCGTATTTTAACCCGCGAATGCCCTGGACGCTGTGATCAACTCGCTGTCATGGTGTTTTGTCTCAGCTGCATTTGCTCGCGGACGTCAACGTAGCGCCTGGTCTTGCGGGAATCAGCATGAATTCAAGGCAAAGAACATACGAGCTTCAGACTTCTCCCACTAAGGTTGGGAGAACGCAGCATGTTGAATTAATTTATTTTTCTTCCTTGTCCTTTTTATCGTTCCTTTGATTGTGACGATAGCAACGGACGGACTTCCTTTCCCTTGCTCGCAGGTGCTAAGCAGGATGGAGGTACCCGTTCTCCGTGCGTGCGTGAGTTGTCGCACGCTAATCATTCATCATGAGGGCTGCAAGTCCATCACATGCCAGTGCGGCACCTCCTTCTGCTTTGCGTGCCTGAGACCATTGGATGTGTGCGGCACTGACCATTGCGGGCCCTGTAACGTGCCTGTTGCCCCACGACAGGGGTAGTGACAACTCTTTGATGTAAGATGTCCCCAACCCTTTGAGCAGGGGGAAAAATGCATTTGTGGGTTGCCATGTTTTAGCATCAGTCTGATTCTCTTCCTGACTTTGTTTCCATCGTAATCTTCGTTTGCCTTCATTCATGCCAGCAATGCTGTCCATGACGTTTTTATCAGTTGCCGAGTCTTAGTGCGGATGCCACTAGCTTACCAGTATGCTTCCATACATACTCGCCCATTGGTCGCATGTGCAGCACATCTTCGATGATTATCAAACCTATGTGCCAATAAAGAAGTTGACAGGGATATTAGTCATGGGTTGCAAAAAGGATCGTTGTAGTGGGTGAATGCTTTAATGTCATTGTTATTCTTATATAATAGCATTTCTCAACGAGTGCCATGCCACACCATGAGTTTAGTCCAAGTCCGTTGTGCCAACTGGACTTGTAACACGGAGGCAGGCTTCTATTGGGCGGTATTTCATTTGCTGTACTTATTATTGGTCAGTTTGAACCGTGATTAATGACAGCGTGGATTCGATCTGTTGCCCTGAATGCTGATTCGTTTGAACAATTCTTCAGGTTTCGAAGAACGAACAGTAATTCTCCCACCAACTGCGAAGTGTTTTCGCATGGGATACTCGTGCACCTGGCTCTGTGGGGAGCTTCGGCGCCGGAAGGAATCGCATGAGACTGTCAACCACCACAACACAGGGCACCTGGGCCCTTGCAGCAGCGTGCTGACGTCAATCCTCCGTGGAGTGTGCCTCACATCAACGTCAACTGCACGGGTTTCCCGCCAACTTAGGTTAGGCGTGATGCAGACACTCACAGCATGCGCAGCACTCCTTTCAACTGGCCCCGTGCTTCGCATCTCTTACCATGCTCCTTTCCAAATTTCCACGTGGCAGTGGTTTGAGGTAGGGGTGGTTACTGTCTGCCGCGCTGCGGTCTGTTGCGCACTTCCAGAACCAGCGGAAACGGACGGATTCCGTCCCGTCGCTGTGCGGGCTCCAAATCGAAGGGGTCTACCCATTGGTTTCAAACCAGCCTCCGTTCCTGACGACTCGACTCGACGCCAGATTCTTTCCCCTACCGCCCCCCTCTAAGCCCCTTTCCCTCCCTTCTCCCTCCTCCGTCCGTCAACGACGACCTGACGGAGCTACCGTTTCCCGCGTCTCTTCCCTCGGGCCTCCTCTCACTTCCCCTGTCTGCCCATTTCTTCCCCTGTTTAGCCGCTGCTGCTTGTGAACCAGAAACCCTAGGAGCGTGCTGTATGCCGTAAAGCCTAGAGCCTGGAGAACTGCCGCTTTGTTCCATCTCCAGCTCAGACCAGGTCACTGAGGCATATATAGAAGGCCTGGTTCTGCGTTTATTTTATTAACCTGAGCTTTCGTTCCGTTCGAAGTTTACTCTAGAGGGCAAGTTCCCGTTAGTGCTGAGAGCTGATAGCGGGTTTTTGCCTTAGCTGGCTCAACGATTTCTTTTATCCGAACTATATTGCCGAGACGCTTGAGAGCGCGATGGTTACATCTCTCGCCCTGTATTCGAGCTCCTCACCAGGGGCTGTTCTGTCGTCGTCATCAAAATCTTTCTCGCCTTCTCCTGCGGTGTCCGACGGCGATGCGACCAGCGCCTTAGATAACCAAAACAACCGGAAAGGCTCTCGAGGTGGTCTGTCGTCCCTCCTTACCTCGACGAGTCCCAGACATGGCTCTTACGGGTCTTTGCCAAGCTCTGAATTCACTGGGACCTTGGGATCTGGCGCATTTGGCGGTCAGGAAGGATATTATTTCGGCAACAGTGTAAATAACGCTAGCTCCTTATCCGACGGTGGTCGGTTTCTTTCTACGGCAGTTAACATTCCGTCTAACAGTTCTAAGCTTAAGCCTCGTCGCTCCAGCCTTTCCGTAAGCACGACGACAACGACCAGAAGCGGCTTCCACACCTCCCTCGCGTCGTCCCTAACATGCAGAAGCGAGCCGCGTCTCTCATCGTCCATTGACGTCAGCAGCAGCGCTCGGACACGTCGATTCGCGCCGTTGACAGCACCCGCGCCTGCAGATTCGAAGCCCATTCAGCGCAGCGTCGGCTTTACCGTCAAGGCTTCCGCATCTGCCGCTTGCGTCGCCCCTGCTCCCTCTTCCGATAGCCAAGTCGCGCCGCGATTCGTGCCGCTAGGAGCGGACGGCAAGCCTGGCCTAGCGTCCATCCAAGACCTCGTAGAGGAGGTGACGTCATCATCGTCAGCTGCGCACTCGACGCACTGGCCTGGGCTGGTTACGTCGCTCTCTGGTTCTGCTCCGGGGGTATGGCGCGTAGGGACGGATTCAGGCGCCGAGCTTGTAAATACGACGTTGCTAAGCATGCCGAAGCTGACTGCTCTTCCCAATGGCGGCGTCAGGATGCACGATCCCGCGGCTTTCCGCCAAGTGCGGTCCGCCATTGAGATTGGCCGAGATCCGGATGCTCTGTTGTCGGACGACGATTGGTTGAGATATGCGCAGAAGAAACATTCGGTATTCTACGACCCGCTGGTGAAGCTGGCGTTTCAAGTGGCTGCTGACGCTCACCAAGGCCAGGTATGTCGTGTCGTGTAACGATGAAAGGCGTTCTGAATCCTTTCATTTCCTTTGTATGTTGTATGGCTAGGTATGTTGTTTCCTTCTCTTTCTTTGCTGCCGAGCTGGGATACTTTGTTTCTTTAGTCGTAATTTTAGGGTTGAGTGCGTTCTAGCATGCCATGTCCCATCAATCATTTCGTTTCCGAATCCCACTTTCTGTTCACTTAATCCTCCTCATTGGCAGTTCCGCAAGAGCGGCCAGCCAGTCCTTTCCCACTGCGTGGAGACCGCACTCATCCTCGCTGGCATCGGCGCCGATAAGGTCGTCGTTGCTGCGGGTCTGCTGCACGACGTCATCGACGACACTGCTACGTCGGAGCAGGACCTGCGCGACATCTTCGGCGACGAGATCGCGTCGCTCGTCGCCGGCGTCAGCAAGCTGAGCCTCGTCTCGCAGCTGACGCGCGACAGCTCGCGAAAGCTCACCTCGTGCGAAATCGACAACCTTCGCACGATGTTCGTCGCGATGGCGGACGTGCGCGTGGTCCTCGTGAAGCTCGCGGACCGCATGCACTGCCTGCGCACCATCGAAGCGCTCCCCGCGCAAACGCAGCAGCGCATCTCCCGCGAGACGCTGGACGTGTTCGCGCCGTTGGCGAACCGGCTGGGCATCTGGTCGTGGAAGGCGGAGATCGAAGACGCGTGCTTCCGCTGCCTGCACCCGCGCGAGCACGCGGACCTGCTCGCGCAGCTCGACCGCACCAGCAGCGGCGGAGGCGGCGGCGCCGGCGCGAGCTGCAGCAGCGGCAGCGGGTTTAAAGGCAGGAGTGCTGGCAGTAGGAGTGGGGGTGTGGCGGAGGAGGGCGGTGCGGGGAGCGGCGGGGGCGGAGAGGCGAGCGTGATGGCGGCGATCCGACGGTTGAGCGCGGCGCTGGAGGAGAAGGGGGTGCAGTTCGAGGACCTGAGCGGGCGGCCGAAGAACCTCTACAGCATCTTCAACAAGATGACCAAGTAAGCAGCGGAACTAGCACACAGAATCTTCAAGAAACCTATTCTTACACAACCGTTTTCCACTTTCTCCACCCCCTCCCACCCCCTCCCCCCCCCTACCCCTCCTCCCCCCCCCCCCCCCCCCCCCCCCCCCCTCCCCCTCTCCCCCCGCGTCCAGCCGGCCTCATTCCTTTTTTAATCCGTCAACTGTTTTGTATCCTCCCTCCTTCATTCCATTTGCTCGTCGTAACATCTTCTCGCATGAGTGACAATGGTGTAAGGACCCGTTTTTCCGCGCCTCTCCTCATCGCGTCTCTCTCCGCTGTCCTGTCCTCCCCCTCCCCCGCCGCCCCTCCTCTCGCCCCCCTTTCCCCCTGCCTTCTCCACCCACCTCCCCCTCCCCCGCTTCCCTTTCCCCCGTCTCCCCTGCCCTGCGTTTCGTCCAACCCTCACGATGGCCCCCTACCAGGAAGGGGCGGTCACTGCACGAGATCATGGACGTGCGCGGGCTGCGCCTGATCGCGACGGACGAAGCCGCGTGCTACGACGCGCTGGCCGTCGTGCACTCGCTGTGGGCGCCCTGGGCGGGCCGGCACCTCAAGGACTACGTGCGCGCGCCTAAGCCCAATGGCTACCAGTCTATCCACTCGGTGGTGTGCGGTGACGATGGGTTGCCGCTGGAGGTGCAGATCCGCACGCCCGCCATGCACCACCAGGCGGAGTTTGGCGTGGCGGCGCACTGGCGGTATAAGGAAGCGGGGTTCCGTGACAATAACAGGGATAAAGCACTCGGGAAAGAAAAGAGTAGCGGCAGTAGTAGAAAACAGGAGGGTAAAGGGTCCGCCTCCTCTGAATCATCCTCCACCTCCTCAGGGCCGTCGCCAGCGGTGCTGGCGAAGATAGAATGGGTGCGGTACGTTCTGTCGTGGTACAGTGAGATGAGCGACACCAAGCTGCGCCTCTCCCCGCCCTCCAAGCGCCTGTCGCCCTCGTCTCTCTACCTCGCCAGCATGGCCGCCATGGGATGCGGCGCCCCCGCCACCGCCGCCACTGCCACTACCTCCTCCCCCTCCTGCTCCCCCTGCTCCTCCCCCTCCTGCTCCACGCCAGCCTCCTGCTCCCCTGCGGTTTCATATCCGTCTCACTGCATGGGTGCTGGCGCGTGTGGGAGTGCCACTGCTGGTGGTGCATGCGGCACTGACTGTGACGAAGCTGCTTCTTCCTCTGAGCTGCATGAGCGGTGCCCCTTCCCAGAGCACCTGGAGTCGTGCCGCTTCCGCACCTTCCCCTTCAGCACCTCGCCAACAAGCCCATTGCCTCAAGGGGATGCGTTTGCAGCGGCGGGTGCACCGTTTTCGAGCGCGCCTGTGCCGCCGCCAGCAGCAGCGATGGAGGACGAGGAGATCTATGTGCTGGTCATGGATGGCGATAGTGTGAGTGCCTCCCTACCTCTCGCTCTAACCCTCGCTTGTGTCCAGGCGTTTTGGTTGCTCGTCATGCTCATCCCTCTCCCTCAATTTTCTTGCCCGCCTCCCTCAGCTGGCTCACTTTCAAGCTGGATCTCCCTTGAAATCCTCATGAGCTTATCGCTGTGTCTCCTCTCGTCTCCTCTTCTTCCTCTCAGATATCCGTCCGGGAGGTCCCTGCCACGACCACAGTCGCAGCATTCCTAGAGCAGCATGCGGAGGAAAGCTCGTCGGACGGCTCTTCACATGAGAAGCCCGAGAAGCTCAACGAAGGGGGCTCACCGGATACACTCCTCCTGCGGGAGTTGTGGCAGAAGCAGGACGAGCTGCGCCTGACTCACCCCCACCAGAAACAGGGAGAGCAGCAAGCAGGAGCTGGCAGGGGGGGGCGAATGTTGCTGCGAGTCAACTCGGAGGTGGTAGGGGAGGGCGAGGCTGCCAGTCGCCGGCTGAGAATGGGCGATCTGGTGGAAGTGGTGCTGGACCGCGCTGCTGTCGGCGCTGCTGATTTCGCTACTGCTGGTGGTCGTGGTGCCGTTGCTGCTGTTGGTGGTGCTACTGCTGCTGGTCTGGGTGCTGGTTGTGTGTTGGAAGAGGTGTTACCGGGGGCAGGAGCATCGTTTGAGGAGGGAGAGGCTGGGGAGGCGGCGGTGGAGGAAGGGTTGGAGGAGGGGGGGCTGCTGCCTGCGTTTGCGATGCTGCATGAAGAGGACGACGAGGATTGGCTTGTGGTGGCGCATGGGCATAGCAGCAACAGCATCAGCAGCAGCGGTAACAGCAAAAACAGCTTGGGAGGCGCACTCGCACCTGGGGTCATGGCGGGTGCGTGGTGCTTGTGATGGGATGTTCTGTGATTTCCTGTGTGGCATGCGGCATGAAGAGGATGATGAGGATTGGCTTGTGGTGGCGCATGGGCATAGCAATACCAGCAGCAGCAGCAAGAGCAGATTGGGAGGGGCGCTGACACCAGGGGTCATGGCGGGTTCCTGGTGCTTGTGATGGGAGGGATGCGTTATGGTGAGTGAGATGAGATAAGAGGTGAAAAAATTCTTTGTACATATGGAGCGTGTGGTGTCAAGTGGGTGTAGATCAGATCCAGCAAACCGAATGGTAGCTGGTACCATATGTTTGAGGTAGTAGAGATTGTGCTGCATGGTAGACACGCCTTGTTGTTATCTTAGGTGCAGTTACATTCCTGTAAATAGAAGTCATGGCTGAGTAGCAGCTTAATTTCAGATCCCTCAGGGCGGGCAGGACCCCGAAAGTAGCTGGCCGTCCAACACTGATATGCGCGGGATGGGGGATAACTGCACCATTACTGTGTGAACTTCCTGAGCGGTACATTCTTTTTGTGTGTGGAGACCACCTGCACTTGAGATTTTAAAACCTGTCGTACAGTAATACAATCCAACCCTCTCTAGTTTGATTCCTACCGTAGATACACTCATAACGTCACGAACTCGTTGACGAAAGTCAACCCCGAAACCAACTCCGTTACAAATCACAGAAACCTTTTGGCTGTGTACAGCTCACCAAACTGCATCATCTACTCAGCACAACTGACCATGTTCCCCCGTTGACTGTTCATCGTCTTTTCGTCCTTCTGAACCTCTTTCGCGTCTATCCCTGCGATTGTCGCAACTCCTCGCAAGTCACGATTTGAATTGTCTTGCAGCCTGTTGCCTTGTAGATACGGTACCTACCTGCATTCGTAGAAGTGAAGCTGCAACAGGAAACGAGCAGAGGGACAAGCACACCAGAGATGATGAGGCAAGCATGAAGCACTAAGGGCGTGTTACATTTTTATATTAGCCATTTTGTCCAGACGATGGTCCACGGACCTTACTCAATACGCGTACGGACGGTTCGGGCCTCGCGCCCAGACGGAGGCTAGTCCGGGCGAGGTATCTGGAACTTTTTTGGTTCTCGAAATTGAGAACAGTTTTTGTGTAACAATGGATACTTGTTACTGATGTTCGCCCAGGGGAAAAACGCGTCAAGCGACTTCGTATAGGGTAAACTCATTTTCATTAATAATCTCGTCGGCCAATCAAATCACGGTTTGGTTTCACTGTCCGGCAGACGGACGGGAATCGTTCGGACGGTTATGTACACAAAAAAATAAAAAATTGTTTCATCTGCGGTACGTACAGCTGCGACGTCGCATGGTGGCAGGCGAAACATTTCGCAATGCATCACGAAAAAAGTTACCCTACAAATGTCCGGACGGCCCACGGTACGGACTATGGATGTGAGAAAATGTAGCACGCCCTAACACCTCTGGCTTCTCACACAGACAGGCTGGCTGGTCATACAAACAGCTCAGTGCTGCTTTATAACCCTGGGAGGATTGCCTCAGTGTTGATTTGTTTCCCACTGGCCTAGAGATCTCCTCGTTGTTGAGTGGTCTTGTCAGAGAAGTATCTCGCAAATGGCGGCTGAGCAGAAGCGGAATGAAGTTGCTTGCAGCAAAACCATTTACTCTCCGATGGATGAACCTCTACAGACTTCCACGCCTACATAAGCAGCTCCGTTGACAACTCGCCGTTAAAGTTCTCCGACGCCAGTCACGTGGAAGTCAGGTGTATCAGAAAACTTCACGCGCACTTCCTTCGGTTCTCCGATAATCTTCCAAGGGTCTAAACAGTCGCTGATGTTGATACTCGAGCATTAGGTTCCCGCAGAAGTAAATAAAACACTGCTTACTTTATTGTGTACGCTGCTATTACAATGACGGCACCTGCGATAACGTCGGCGACTCCAGCATCAGCGGGCACCCATCTCCCTTGTTCCGAGCTTCTCCATGCCACGCGACCTGAAGAAAGCATTCTGAGGTGCATCGGAAGTCCAGCATCAGAGAGCAAAGGTGTCTCGTATTCCGAGCCCTTCCATAATATGCGACCTCCGTCCTTGGAGCTTCTCTCGGCCGACCTGTGGGAAATGGCGGAAGAAGCAGAGGCTGCAGCTACGCCGGCGTCTGTCGACCAGAAATCGGAAACGAACGGCGAAAAGTCAACCAGCCGGTTCTGGTTTCGTCCGCGCAAGAGGAACGGCGAGACAGGCTTCTCGTTCCCTCGATCCAGATCGACGAGCTACTACGATCCTCCTACTATGAAGCGAAACGAGGACCTTCTTGGCGAAGCTGGCGAGCCGAGGAAGAGCATGAGGAGCAAGACCCTTGTTCCGAACATGAAGCTGTTAGAGATCCCTGGCGACGAGGATGATACGGCGTATGAAGATATTGTGTGGGAAACGCCCGATGAAGACGTTTCGGACGCAGCTCAGAGGCTCGTGAATAGGGTGAACATCTCTAAGTCTGCTGAGAACGAATCGGTTTCTTCTGTACGTATGTTTCCTGAACGTCAGTGGTCGTCCAACCTACCACCGTCACCGTCATTCATGAAATTGCGTGGCTTCGGACGGAAACGTACAGGAGCGGAAGCATCAATCTCTTTCCGGATCTCTCCATTGTCGCCTGGATCGGCAATTTCGGGAACTCCGAAGGACGTGCCCAGCAGTAAGCTGCGTGGTCTAAATTCTGAAGGAGCCGATCCAGCAGCCGCTCCTTGCAACCGCCGGGACAGACGGAAATGGAAAAGCTTTGATGATCTATCTGGCTGGGCGGATGGCAGCGGGGACCGGGGTTCTGCCGATGATGTGGAGCCGGATTTGCAGGCAAGGATGCAGGCTTGTGTGCCTGCCAGAGAGCTGACTCTGATGGAGGAAGAGGAAGGCGAAATCACCCCTACAACACCTGTGACATTGCAAGCACGGAGGGGTTTCTGCACTCCACATAGCAGACAAAGAAGTGGTAGTGTAGACATAACCTCTCCCATCAGCCCAAAGGTTACCTACTTTTCTTTTGAGAAGCATCGTCAGGTTGTGATGGAACAAGCAGCCAAAATGGAGCAGCAGAGCAAGGATTGTTGAGAAGTGCTAGCTCTAGAGGCGCATGCACTATCAATGCTAACAGACTGTTGCAGTCGCTGCATTGTGGATATGGTATGGTTCTCTTGAGGGTGACACTGGATTAGCAGAGCTGAAGTCCTGGTGTGAATGGTTGCCAATGTAATGCTCACTGCTTCTGCAAACTATGTGCAAAATAAGTCCGCTATAGAAGTACATCATTCCACTGTACACTACATGGTAGATAGCAACAGAAACGCCCCCAGCTTAGTAAAAACCTCAGGCAAGAGCCTGAGCCCTCCATGTACCATAAAATCCTACGCCTAGGAGAACGGAAACGTTATTGCCCGCTTATTCAGAGCTGTCAAGCCTCTGTCACCGCTGGCTCTTCCCATCACACAAGCATTTGCCTGGACAAGCGCAGCTTGCTGGCTGCAGTCGTTGTTGTATCCCTCCCCCCAAAATCGTGAGCCCTTTCTGTAGCCGTTTCAAAAAGCATGGACCACACCCTGAGAGTACTTCCTGAGGTGAGGAGAGTCCTTTCAGTGACAGTCCAGCCCACCGGCCAAATCGTTTTCCAGTGCAACAGCATGCGAGGCATTCCTCGCTTCTGTCAAAAAAGGCCGATCCGAGCCTTGTTCTCGCTGCACTCCAAAGACTTCAATCCTGAAATGTCCTCGAATAGGAAATTTCCGCAAAATCCATCAATCCCCGAGTCCTCCATGATTTGTAAAATTTTCCACATCATCCAGTCTCTGCTGCCAGCATGAGCGAAATTCCGGACACTCGCCTGGTTCTCGAAAGATCCTCGTCAGACGAGCGGCGAGGAGATACTCTGGCAAAGGGAGATTCCGCGTTGCTGTTGCTGACTGGGGGACTGTGGACATAGAAATTGACGTGTGCCGGCAGTTGTTGTGCAGCTTCAGATGAAGACCTGAATAAGTCTCGCTTTAGAGGGAGTGTTGCGTTAGCCCTGGCGCTAACGCTACGTGATGATTCTGATGCCGATTTTCTCCACATAGCTGCAACGCTGCTGGCTCGAGATTGTAGTTTGGTTGAGTCACGACTATCGCTGGCGCAATGAGTCGCAAGCGAAACGGACGACGAAGGTGTTCGCGTATCAGCAATAGGCCATGCTCCGCCGTGAGACGCTAAATAGCGCGCGAGCATCATAGTCTCGTCCACCTCGTCTACTATGGAAGCCATGGTATCTGTGTGAAGTTTCAGAAGTAGTCAACAAGCCACTAGAATCTCCCTAGTTTCATGTGAGGCACCTAGTTCTGCTAGCAAACCCCTAGTCTAAACGAAAAAGAGACCTGACGAAACGACTTCTTGTGTAACGCATGTGGGCTAGTGTTAAGGGCAATCCGCTGCGCCAAATAACACCCTCGTTTTGACCCAGTGGGTAGCGAGGTGTTACATTTGGAATCAGAGCCTAGGGTTCGAATCCCGGCTGGACCACACTTTCCGCCTTTGGCGAGAACTGAAGTGTGGTTGTAACCAGCTCGAACCCAGCGAACGATCCTCCGCTGGCCTGAGCAACCAGCGAAGACGCAGCTAGCAGCACTGCGAAATCTAGGTCCCAGCAGCAGGGGGCCGACTCCCTGAAGTAAAGAGCCAACGGGGACGTTGGCGCCAGGGGGGGGACGAGTGTAACGCATGTGGGCTAGTGTTAAGGGCAATCCGCTGCGCCAAATAACACCCTCGTTTTGACCCAGTGGGTAGCGAGGTGTTACATCTTGGCCGACCAACCGACAACGGTGGCAATGGGAGGCGCTCATTTTGGCAACATACACAACACCATTGCAGCAGAAGCCAAGAAACGAAACGCTCAAGAAACGAGGTCCACAGAAATCACTTCACCTCATCCGCCTGTAAAAACGGCTGGGCGATGGAGCTTCCATTCTTGCGGGCGTGCGTGGTATGATTTGTAAAATCCGCTATTCCTTGCCTCGCATCACCCCCCATACCACGTACACGACATTCGCCTCTTGACAAGGAGGGCACGGTGCATCAGAGGCGAACTTCTGCCAAAAATCGAACTTCCAGAGCGGTTCTATAAGGTGGGCTACCTACACACAACAGTTTCAAAT